TCAATTCTTCAGTACTCAGCTTTCGTTATAGTCCAACTCTCACATCCATATATGCCTACTGGAAAGACCATAGCCTTGACTAGACGGACCTTTGTGGACAAAGTGATGTCTCAGCTTTTTAATATGCTGTCTATGTGGGTCATAACTTTCCTTCCAAGGAGTAAGCGTCTTTTAATTTCATGGCTGCAATCACCATCTGCATTGATTTTGGAGGACCCCCCAAAATGAAGTCAGCCACAGTTTCCCCATCTATTTGCCAAGAAGTAATGGGACTGGCAGAGAAGGCAATGGCACCCCACTCCAGTACGCTTGCCTGGAAAATCCCATGGATGGAGGAGCCTGGTAGTCTGTGGTCCATGGGGTCCATGGGGTCACTAAGAGTCGGACACGACTGAGCAACTTCATTTTCACTTTTCACTTCCACGCACTGGAGGAGGAACTGGCAACCCACTCCAGTGTTCTTGCCTGGAGAACCCCAGGGACGGGGGAGCCTGGTGGGCTGCTGTCTATGGGGTTGCACAGAGTCCAATACGACTGAAGTGACTTCGCTAAGCAGCGGCCTTGGGACTGGATGCGATGATCTTAGTTTTCTGAATGTTGACCTGTAAGACAACTATTTCTTTTTCTTCTTTCACTTTCATCGAGAGGCTCTTTAGTTCTCCTTCACTCTCTGCCACAAAGGGTGGTGTCATCTGCATATCTGAGGTTATTGACATTTCTCCCAGCAATCTTGGTCCCACCGTGTGCTTCATCCAGCCCAGCATTTCTCACGATGCACTCTGCATATAAGTTAGATAAGCAGGGTGACAATATACAGCCTTGACCTACTCCTTTTCCTATTTGGAACCAATCTCTTGTTCCGTGGCCAGTTCTAACTGCTGCTTCCTGACCTGCATACAGGTTCCTCAAGAGGTGAGTCAGGTGGTCTTGTGTTCCCGTCTCTTTCAGAATTTTCCACAGTTTATTGTGATCCACAGTGTCAAAGCCTCTGGCATAGTAAATAAAGCAGAAATAGATGTCTTTCTGGAACTCTCTGCTTTTTTTGATGATCCATTGGATGTTGGCAATTTGATCTCTGGTTCCTCTGCCTTTTCTAAAATCAGCTTGAACATGTGGAATTTCATGGTTCACATATTTCTGAAGTCTGGCTTGGAGAATTTTGAGCATTACTTTACTAGCATGTGAGATGAGTCCAACTGTGTGGTCATTTGAGCATTCTCTGGGATTACCTTTCTTTGGGATTGGAATGAAAACTGACCTTTTCCAGCACTGTGGCCACTGCTGAGTTTTCCCAATTTGCTGGCATATTGAGTGCAGCACTTTCACAGCATCACCTTTTAGAATTTGAATTAGCTCTACTGGAGTTCCATTGTCTGCACTAGCATTGTTCATAGACTCGTATTACTTAACTGAAGAAAGGAAAGTATGGGTACGGAAAACAATTCATGGGTTCTGGCTTCACACACAGCTGGATCCAGGGACTCCAAGGATGTCAGCAGAACTCCCCACCTTTTAGCTCTACTTGTGTTAGCTTGCATCTCAGGCACGCTGTCACCTGAGTGTTGACAAAAATATTACTCAGTAACTCCAAATTGGTGTCCCAGTGGAATGGCAGGTCATTTTCCTAGTTATTCCAGTCAAACCCCTTGGGATGGTTCTCAGAGGCCCAGTTTGGGATGCATGCTCATTCATGACTCACTAAATCTCGGCCCTAGGGTGAAGGAATATGTCAGTTGGTCATGTCTGGGTCACATTCTCAATCCTTGGAACAAGAATGTGAGGTCAGGTTCGTCCAAAGTATGTGGACTGAGTGTGGAGAGGGTGGTTCTTCAGAAGCAAGCCAAAGGGGTGTTACCAGAAGATGGGAGGTGAGGAGGCTGGGACAGCAATGACAGCTCCCCACTTCTGTGGGGGCACCTGCATTTCAAGTAAAGTGAAAGTGTTAGTTGCTCAGTCCTGTCTGACTCCGTGTGACTCCATAGACTGTAGTCCACCAGGCTCCCTCTGTCCATGGGATTCTCCAGGCAAGAATATTGGAATGGGTTGCAGTGCCCTCCTCCGGGGGACCTTCTCAACCCAGGGATGGAACCCAGGTCTCCTGCATTGCAGGTGGATGCTTTAGCATCTGAGCCACCAGGAAAGACCCAAAGTCAAAGTGTGCTGAGACAGCAAATAGGAGGAGGAAGCAAGGGGGTAAGTGTAGATACATTGCAAGAACACTTGGATTTTCAACCACTGGACTTGGGTGTCTCTGCTTCACTATCACAGAAGACCTTTTGTGAAACCACATCAATAGGAGACAGGAACCACTAAAGAATTTCAGGTGACAGGCCAGAAATGCGTTACAGAAACAAATTTTTGGTAGAAGGGGAGGAGGATGGATGGTCAGGGAAGTGGGCAGTGAAGTTCAGAGAAGAAACGGGTTGAGATTGTCCAGAAAAGCATTTCCTTATGCGCCTGGGTCGGTTGGAGATGGGGAAGAAGGATGCAAGGGGACTGTGTGCAGTTTAGTCTGGCTCCAGCAGGCTTGACTTGCATGATGTGATTTGGGTGTCCACGGCTGGAAGGGCAACTGCAAAACCCTTCTCAGCTGTGCTGATAGGCTCAAAGTCCTTAACTTGGAAAAAGGGGGAATGGGCTTTGTTTTGAGAAACACCGCCATCTGGTGGTACCTTTGTGCAATGACAACTATTTCCTTTGTTGCTATGGCAAGATGTGCTCCTTCAGAGCTCAGTGACTCATTAGTTACTTGGTCCCTGTATGTTAGGCAGTGTGATTGATTCGGGAACTCAGGTGGGAACAAGGCCTCTGCATCCATGGAGCTGACGTCCTTGTTTAGGAGGCTCACAGGCTATGAATAATCACATGATGGTACATCTATGATGTCATCAAGCTACAGGGAAAGAACACGCCCAGAGCGGTGTCTGCCAGATCTGAGACCTGGCTTGGCCTCCCATCCCGTCCTGTCCCTCCTGTGATGTGGAAGGGCTCAGCAGGTATGTCCCCATTTAGGTCACCACAGAGCATTGATTAGGGTTCCCTGTGCTGAACTGTAGGTTCTCGTGGGTTGTCTGTTGTACACATAGTAGTGTCTATGTGCACTATGTACATATGGCAATCCCAGTCTCCCAGTTTGAGTCTCCCCACCCCCGACCCCCTCCACTGGTAGCTGTAAGTTTGTTTGCTACATCTGTGACTCTGTTTCTGCTTTCCCAGTCAGTTCATCTCTGCCATCATTTTGGATTCCATATATAAGCCATGTTGGACAGTATGTTTTCTTCTTCTGTCTCACTTCACTCTGTTTGACACTATCTAGGTTCACCCACGGAGAAGGCAATGGCAACCCACTCCAGGACTCTTGCCTGGAAAATCCCATGGGTGGAGGAGCCTGGTAGGCTGCAGCCCACGGGGTCTCCAAGCGTCAGACACGACTGAGCGACTTCACTTTCACTTTTCAATTTCACACCTTGGAGAAGGAAACAGCAACCCACTCGTGTTCTTGCCTGGAGAATCCCAGGGCCGTGGATGCCTGGTGGGCTGCTGTCTGTGCCGTCACAGAGTCAGACACGACTGAAGTCACGTAGCAGCAGAAGCAGCAGCAGCAGCAGCAGGTTCACCCACATCTCTGCAAATGACTGTTTGATGCCTTTTAATGGGTGACAGTACTCCGTTGTATATATGTACCTCTTCTGTATCCATTCCTCTGTCAATGGACATTTTAGGTTTCGTCTCTGTCTTGTCTATTGTTAATAGCGCTACGGTGAACACTGGGGTGCATGTATTCCTTTGAATTACGGTTTTCGCAGATACATGCTTAGCAGTAGGATTGCTGGGCCGCACGGTAACTATACTTTTAGTTTTTAAGGAACATCCATATAGTTCTCCTTAGTAGCTGTACCAATTTACATTCCCAGCAACAGTGCAGGAGAGTTCCCTTCTCTGCACACTGTTTCCAGCATTTATGGTTTGAGATTTTTGGATCATGGCCATTCTGACTGGTGTGAGGTTGACATCTCATGGCAGTTGTGATTTGCATTTTTCTAATAATTAGTCATGTATATACCTTAGACCCCCACCCACTAAGATGTTACCTGGAACCCTAGCTCTGGGAAGCTAACTCTCAGCAAAGCTGACCATGCACTCGTATACACAAGGAGGCTACCTGGTTCACAGTGAGTTGAATGCTAAGTCTCTTTCCTTGTTCTGTACTCTTAAAACGTCTGAGGCTATGCAACAGAGAAGATACCTGGGGCACCACCTTCCAACAAAACTCCGTTCCACAGTTTCGATCTCTGGCCCTTGTTCACCAGACCCTTTCCACGAACATCTACATATCCTTTGTCAAACTGCCAGACCCACAGTTAATGGCCCCTCAATCTTCTGTCTCCACCCTCCCAAACCCCCACCCCACAGGAAGAACTGTGTCCCCTGACACAACCCCAACACAGGACTTAACCCCCTCTGGGGCTCTCCATGGACTGGTAATTCCCACGCGGTAAACTGAGAATCCTACATGGAGCTGAGATGTTTGTCCTAAGGACCTGCCCAAACAATACGCAGACACATACAGTTAGTTGATGCTCTTTATTTATCCATCGGAATTATTTCAGGTTTACTTGTGTCTCCCTCTCGATCTGTTCCACTCGATCCAGGCCACTCTTCAGTACTCTCCCGTCCAAGAGCCTTATGGTGGCCATTGATCTGCACGTGAAGCAGCTTCTTAGGTATTCTAGTTTAGGTAAAAGGGGACACTCCATCATTAAGCTTCTCAAAATCTCCCCTGGGCTCCTCACCTCTCGTCCTCCCAGTTCCTCTTGTGGTGGAGCCTCCTTCCTCACATAGTACTGCAAAGGATTGGGCCACAGCTCCTTTATGATGATCTGCCAGGGAAATGAGCAAGGTCAGCACAGGGCCGGCCAGGTCCTCAGCCCTCCCGTGCACCGCCAAGAACTCCCACATAGAATCACCAATTCTGGTCCAGTGCCCACGTGGGACCCTACCTCAGCAATCTGGTCAGATCCTGCGAAGTTGTGGTCAGAGAGCCAGTTAAAGAAGTTAACGCTGCTGTCATGGTGCCTGCGTCTGTATGCCTTACGTTCAAACCCCTGGTGCCACTGAATGGGAGTGGAATGGGATGCTCGGTATCCTGCAGGAAAAGGATTATGGGAGAAAGACCTAAGTCACTTCCCAATTCAACCTCCACTTTTCTGCCCCCACCCCCCAAATCCAGGGAGCTGCCTCTTACCAGTGATGTAAACGAGATACTCCTTAACAACCACTTCATTTTGGAGATACCTATTCCTCCGAAAGGACAACGTGATTGTGCAGTGATGAGTGGGATGCCGGAGTTCCTCCACCTGCCAGGACAAAGTGTGGGGGGGTGTGGTTGTGGGGTGGGTGTGAAACCTCTTTACAGAAGAGCTGCCCTTTCCTGTCTTCAGGGATAAACCACATCCTCTCCCCTCCCCTCCCGTCACCTCCTCTGCACAATGATCAGTGTCCCCTGCCTGACCTTCAAGTTGGTCATGAAGTGAAGCATGTCTCGGTCTTGGCTGGTCATCATACGTGACATTTGGGGGTGGCTCGTAAACTGCTTTAGGTCAAGGAGCCTCTAGATGCTCAAGGTAAAAGTGCTGGAAGAACAAAGCTAGCCTAAAGAGTAGAATGGCACTGTCTGACTTCAACTTGCTCCTAATTAACTCGTCACATTTCTGTTGATGAAGGCTGTCTGAATGCCAGACAAGGCTGTGCCTGGGAATGCACTACCAGAAGGAGGTTCTCTTCCTAACAGGAAGGCCCCAAGCTCCATCTCAGCCTCCTGAAAGTTAGCTTACTTCTGGAAAACACACACTCCTAGCTACAACCAGTAGGAGCACGTACACATGCCAACCTCCCCCCAAATACACTCAGCTTTTCAAAGAAGACCTGGATTCCAGAGAAGCCTTTTCTCTGAAGAGTCCCTGGTGCTAACGACAATTCTGACTGGGACCTCTGCAAGAAAAGTCTAAGTACCGATTTGTGCTAGCCAGAACAGGAAGGACATCACACATCACACATATTAGGAACATCTGTTCCTAATATCAGGAACAGATATGCAGGATGGTAAGCTATACCCATCATCCAAAAAAAAAAAAAAATTTGTACCAGAACTCTCCGATCTGTAAACTGCTCCTGCAAGAGCACAGGTTACCAAAAAAAAAAAAAAAAAAAAATTCACAAGCATCACTCCAAAGGATACAACTTCGACCCAGAAACCACGATTCCCTGGATGATGGCGCTTCTGTGTTCTAGATGGAGCGTCTGCCTCTGACAGTTCTTATGTTTCAGGCGAGCATGCGCCCTTTGGGCTTGCTTATTCACGGGCTCCAGCTCCAGCTGCAGGGCCGCCAGGGCCTCCAGTGCTGGCCGGTCACTCGGAGTTCCGGGCCTTGCAAGTTCTTGGCCCTGCTCCTCCGAGGACACCTGCTGCTGCTCCTCGTACACCACCACCTCCACCTCCTCCATAACGTCTAACACCAGCAGCTGCACATCCTGCCCAATTCCCGATACCTCTCCCCCTTCCAGGGCAGCACCTTCCTCCACTGCCTCCACCCTGTAGAGGGTGGCCTCCTCGCCTGGCACACCACCTGGGGCCTGCATCGCCTCTGCCGCCCCCACCGGGCTGCTAGGCCCCAGGGCCCCTCCCTCGTGAAGACCCGGGCTCACAACTAAGATCCAGGATCCCGGGGTGATGATGCCTTCCCCTGGCCCCGTCTCACTCTCCATGGTGTTCTGGCCCTAGCCCCGAGGGGCGAGGAAGCTGGCCGCAAAAGCACAGCTGGCGGCCGGCACAGCCCGCCCACCGACCGCAGTCTACGTGGCACTACCCACAGCTTCCTTGCCCACAGCCAATGAGCAGGGAAGGGGAGACACGCATGCGCAGAACTCTGCGTCCCCACGCACGCGTAGGATGGTGGCCGGAAGGGGCTGAACTCCACACCCTGACCTCCAGACACCGGGACACGCCCCTTGGAATTCTGGGCACTCTGGCCGCAGGCGACCCAGCGGCCAAACTCGGCCCTGCGCAGAGTGCGGCGGTCCACGCAAGCTGTTTGCCTGACCAACAGTGCAGACGTGCCTGACCAGTGACCGGGAAGCCAGGCCAGTTGGAGGCGAAGGCAAAGAACCTGAACCTCACGCTGCAACCATCCTCAAGCTCGACATTGCCTCTGGGGCAGCGGGCGAGTCCGTGTACTCAGGGATCCACACAGGTGAGATAGGGTTCCCGGGTACCTCAGGGACAGAGGGGCTCATCTCGGATCCAAGCTGCAAGCCCTGGGCAGGGCGTGGGGCGGCCGGGGATAGCGGTGGCGCGGGGAAGTGGGCGGGGCTTATGCCAACCCTCACCGACGTCCTCCCGCTGCAGAGTGCATCCCTCAACTTGTGCCTTAGGCTTGAGGTGTGTCAGGAGTGCAGCCATCCTCTGATGAAGAAGCAGGGCACTTTCCTCAGCTCGCTGTCCAGGCCCCCCAACGCAGGCCCAAGCCAAACCACCCTGGAGTCCATGGCCTACAGTCTTTCAGCTCTTGGCCTTTCCCGCGGCCCGCAGCTTAGAGCAGGCCCCTGGGTGGCTAAGGATGTGCACCCGCGGATGCCCCTCCCAGAGGAACAGAGCTCCTCCGGTAAGTGTTTCAAGTGGAGCAACGTGCTCCTCCTGACCATTAGTTACTCTCGCCTCCCGGCCACACAGCTAAGGTGGGCACACTCAGGTTAATTGCCTAGACAGATGCCACGCTCAGACTCTGTCTGCTAAGAATTCTGGTGTTTCACACTGAGCACTTACCTTAGGCCAGACACACACTCACACACACACAATCACACACACACAATCACAGACACAGACACACACTTACAAATAGGTGACTGAAGCACACACATACATACACACGTGCAATGCACAGGGACACAGATGCAAACAGCTGTTTCAGAGACTGTGGAACCAGTGGTTCACATCAAATGTTTAGACTTCCTTATTTCTCACAGGGAAATATTCATTCTGATCTTCAGATGTGAAATATAGAGAAGTCCAAATTTCATGAACCAGGATGAATGCCTCGAATTTGATATTGGCAATAAAGAGAACTCTGTATTACATGCGGATAGTCATTGTTCTATATATGAGAAATGCAAAGAATTAAGTATTTCACAAATAAACAGTGGTGCCGAAAATTTCATTTTTGAAATAGAATTCCAATACCATGTTGGTTCCCCATGTCTTAATTACATACTTCATGTCAGTAAAATTCCACTGAGATTTTAATATAGGCAAGGTATACAATCTCACAATTCAAGCAGGAAGGCCTATGCTCAACTTTTCGTATCTGAAATACACAGAATTCCCCATTTATGTAGGAAGAGCTGTGCACAGTTATCCATATATGAAACAGACAAGATTCCAAATATGAAGAGAATTATACAAGTAGGTTTTCATACATGAAATACAGATTTCCTATTTCACGGAGGAATATCTGCACCCATATTCTCACCTTTGAAATAGAGAAAATGACATATTTCATGCAGAAAAACCATTTCTCAGATTTTCGTCTGCACGAAGCAGGGCATGCAAAGCAAGGGCTCTGGAACAACCCAGAAGGGCAATGTAGGAAGGAGTGTGGGAGTGGCTCCAGGCCGGGTGGGACCCCTGTATACTTATGGCTTATTAATGTTGATGCATGGCAGAAACCATCACGATATTGTGTAGTAATTAACCCCCAGTTAAATTTTTAAAACAAATTAAGTTTTGAAAAAAGGAAAAGAACAAGGGGACTCGACTCTGCTCTGTGGTGACCTAAATGTGAAGGAAATCGAAAAATGACGGGATATATGTACATCTAAAATTGATTCGCTTTGAGATAGGTACAGCAGAAACTAAAGCAACATTGCAGTGTGGCTGTAATCCGATAATGATTGTTTGAAATATATTACATGTCAACTATAATTCCTGCAATGAATAAATAAATGGTAGCCCCGTTGGTAATATATGTTCTTGATAAGAAAAGATGTCCCTTGAAACAGCATTGAAACACGTATATTATCTAGGGTGAAACAGTTCACCAGCCCAGGTTGGGTGCATGAGACAAGTGCTCGGGCCTGGTGCACTGGGAAGACCCAGAGGGATTGGGTGGAGAGGGAGGTGGGAGGGGGGACCGGGATGGGGAATACATGTAAAAAAAAAAAAAAGATACACTATGGTTGTGATAATTAATTAATTAATTAATTAATTAATTAATTAATTAATATAAAAATAAAAAATAAAAAATAAAGAAAAGATGTCCCATGCTCTTAAATCAAAACAATTAATAGAATTTTCCATACTATCCAAAATCATTTTTGATGGATTGCAAGCCTTGTCAATTTTCCAGTGACTTTTATAATAGAAATAGGAAAAGCATTTCTAAAGTTTGACTTCCCAGATTGTTTAGTACTTAGAAATCTGCCAGCTATTGCAGGAGACATGGGTTCTATCCATGATCTGTGATGATCCTGCATGCCCTAGAGCAACACTGATACCACGGATACTAAGCCTGCATGCTAACTCCCAGGAGCCTTAACAAGAGGCGCAATGGCAATGAGCAGCCAAAGCACCTCAGCAAAAGCCAGCTCTTGCTCACTGCAACTAGAGGAAGCCTGATCAGCAGTTGAGACTTGGCAGAGTCAAAAATAAATAAATAAGAATGTATTACAATTTATTAAACATAAATAAATAGATAAACTTAACTTGTTTAACAGTACAGAAACACTAGCCATAGCAATACTGACAAAGAACGTCAAAGCTAGAGGCATCATACTTGCCAATTTCAAACTACCAGAGGGCTACAGAAATCTTTACAGCGTGGTACTGGCATAAAAACATACCCTGAATCAGTGAAACAGAATAAAAATTTCTGAGCAGAATTATCAGCTCTGAAATAAAACTCCCAGCTCATATTTGTCAAGGAAACCAAAATATTTAACAGAGAAAGACTACCTCCCATAAATGACCTTGGAAAAACTGATAACCACATGCAGAAAATTGAAATTTGACCGCTATATTACAGTACTCAGAATATTAACTTGAAATTAATTATAGATTTAAATAAGCCTATGAGAACTGGGACAATAAAATTTATAGTTGGACACAAAGGAAAACACTCCCTTGGTTTATTAAAAATGTGATACCAAAGGCACAATCAGCAGAAGCAAAACTTAATCCAAGGAAATACATTAAACTAAAAAGTTTGTGCCTTACAAAAGAAACAGTCAATATTTGTTTCTATGTGTTTTTTTAAACAGGGTTTTTCCTGTGTAGCATTGTGTTCAGAAGTGACACTTGATATGCTTTAAATTTTCTTATATTTCTTGAGGTTGGTTTGTGACCCAAGGTATGAGCTATCCCAGAGAATGTTCCAAGTGCAGTTGAGAAGAAAGTGTATTCTCTTGCTGTTGGAGAAATGTCCTATAGATAGCAATTAAATCTCTGTGGTTTATTGTTTCATTTAAAGCTTGTTTCCTTATTGATTTTCTCTGTGGAAGAACTGTCTGTTGGTATAAATGGAGAATTGAAATTTCACAATTATTGTGTTACTGTTGATTTCCCCTTTTATGGTTGTTAGCATTTGCTTAATGAAATGGCATTCTGCTGTGCATAATAAAAAGCAGAGACATTACTTTGTCCACAAAGGTCCGTCTAGTCAAGGCTATGGTTTTTCCAGTAGTATGTATGCATGTATGGATGTGAGAGTTGAAGCTGAGTGCCAAAGAGTTGATGCTTGAAGCTGAAACTTGATGCTTCAAGATTGGGGGCAGGAGGAAAAGGGGACGAGAGAGGATGAGATGGTAGGGTGGCATCACCGACTCAATCACCATGAGTGTGAGTAAACTCCAGGAGCTGGTGATGGACAGGGAGGTCCGGCGTGCTTCAGTCCATGGGTTTGCAAAGAGTCAGACATGACTGAGTGACTGAACTATGCATAAATGTTTATAATTGCTATATCATCTGTTAAACTTCTCCCTTGATCATTATGTAGTGTCTTTCCATATCTCTTTTAATGGTTTATATTTTCAACTCGGTTTTGTGTAATGAGAGTATTTCTACTCCTGCTTTCTTTGGATTTCCATTTGCATGGAGTCTCTTTTCAGACTGAATGTATCCCTTTGTCTGAGGTGGCTCTCTTGGAGAGAGAGACTTACATATATATGTTTTGTTTTCTATCCACTCAGCCAGTCATGTCTTTTGGTAGGAGCATTTAATCCATTTAAATTTAAAGTAATTATAGGCATATGTGAACTTATTGCCAGTTTCTTCATGGTTGTGGGTTTAGTTTTGTAAGTCTTTTCTTTCTCTTGTGTTTCCTGATAGAGAAGATCCTTTAGCATTTGTTGAAGAGCTTGTTTGCTGGTGGTGAATTCTCTCAGCTCTTGCTTGTCTGGAAAGCTTTAATTTCTCCTTGTAATCTGAATGAAATCCTTGCTGAGTAGGGTAATCTTGGTAGTAGATTTTTCCTTTTCATCACTTTATGGCCTGTCTTTCCCTTCTGGCCTACGGAGTTTGTGACTTGAAAGATAAGCTGTTATCCTTATGGGGATCCACTTCTATGTTATCCACTTCTATTTTCTCTTGCTAC